AAGTTTAACGTGGCATGTTAAAAATTCTTGCGGTCAACAGCCGCGTTTCAAGTGTCCCTACTGCGATTACTGTTGCAAAGTTAAAAGTGATATTAGAAAGCACATTAACAGGGTACACAAGGGCTTGGAGATATACGTCATTGAGCTCGTTGATACCAATCGTTACGAGGAGCAATAATTATTTTGTAAATGACACAATAAATTCATCTTCATTTATACTCAATCCTTTTATTTGTGGACTGCTCAAATCTCATTGTTTATCGGTGTAACAATTTTAACAGCACTATACTTTTATTTTCATTTATCTTCATTGTCATTTCAATTGCTCCATGACTAATCAACATCATCTGGATTTGTTTATTTTTTTGTTTCAGCAAAGAGAAGGTACAGGAAGAGAAATCGAGTGTTCGAGTCGAGATTCTTTTGCGACAGTTGTCTCAGTTCATTTCCATCGAGGCACAATTTAACGAGACACGTCAAGTACGGTTGCTCCAAGGAACTGAGATACAAGTGTTCATATTGCGATATGAAATCACAGGACAAGTACAATGTCTACAGACACGTGAGGAATCAGCACACTGGAATGATCGTCAGTCTCACTGATGTCTACAGCAATTGCACTCGTTACGCCAAAAAATCTGGATTATACATTCGACATAATGTACACAATCTATAAATTGTAATTTAATCATCATTACTATGTCATTAACCTAACGTTTTTACGAAACTATAATAAATAATGTGTGGAATTGAATAATTCTCGATTGATTCAGCTACTGTTTCAGTGGATAATTACGTTCTAATGTCATTGTTTATAATATTTTATGTTTCAGCTATTGTACCTGGTGATACGGTTTACGAGGAGGTTTTCTTCTGTGCCAATTGTCCAGATTCATTCTCCACGAGAACGAGTCTATCGCGACACGTCAAATACGGTTGTAATCAAAATTTGAGGTACAAGTGTTCCTATTGCGATATGAGATCAAAGAGCATGTACACGGTTTGGAGACATGTGCGTAGACAACACATCGGTGCTATCGTTAGTCTCGATGATACATATTGTAATTGTGTGAGGTTTCAGAAGAAATTCCGTACCTCCATAAATCAAAATTATCCGCGATAAACTGTACGAATTTATTTATGAAACCACTAGATTTTTAGTTTGTCATTGAATTATTATTCTCACATGCCAACGTTAAATAATTAATTCTAGTAATCAAATGGAAATTGTTCTGGATGAACGATCCAGACACCGAGAGGCAGTGGAGATCGAAATTGTAGGCGTACGATTTATATTAAAATAAATAAATAAATCCACACCTTCAACTCCGTTGTGATTGCTTCCCCGCATGATTAATATTGATATATCAAATAAGCAGTAGCAACTGACAATGTCAATATTATTTTCAGGGATGGGATGGTCCAAGGGAAAATCGGTGGAGTCTGATATCCAGTGGAATCCAACCACTGGAAAATTTCACTGTCCCACTTGCAATAATGGTTACGGACGACGAGACACTATGATAGCACATCATCGTTACGAGTGCGGGAAAGCACCGCGTTTCAAGTGCCCGTACTGTCATCTCCGTAGCAAGAAGACATCTAATATCTACCAGCACGTACGATCCGTCCACCCCAACGAGCACGTCGTCCTCCACAAGCTCTACTGATACCAAAAAAGAAAAAAAGAAAAAAAAATGATAAACGAACGAATAATCACCCCCTAAACTGTACAGAAACCCCTCAGACTAATCGTGTAATCCTCGAGCTTAAATTTTACCAATAAAAACATGTAAATTCCAAAGTCTATGTACAGTGTACATTGTACATGCAGAACTGCACGTTAAGGAATGAAATAGATTAATCTGGATATTAGAGATGATGGAGTGATGGATGATAATTTATTGACTAATTAATCACTGATTTCAGAGGCAGCACACAGCCGAATGTATCGGTGTCTCCTGAAAAAACGATTGGCCCAGGGTGGACGCAAGTATCAGTGTCCAAAGTGTGCGAAATCCTTCTCACAGAGTTATTCCATGTATCGACACTACAGGTACGAGTGTGATTCACTCCCAAGATACGGATGTCCTTACTGCAATTACGTTAGCAAGTGGACGCATTCAATCTACAATCACATCAGGAAGATTCATCCAGGAAAGGAGGTGACGGTTAATAGACGTTATTAGGAGAAATGTTTATAACATTAGAGAATAATAAATGATAATATTTCGACAGCTGAAGATTGAGGGTTTATTCATCCATTGATTCACCCAAATTCACCCTCTCAGTGGGTAATTATTCCCCTGCAACCCTCGATTGATTATTTTATAAATTATATTTATTATCTTAATTATTATTATTCGACTTTGCCTGATTGCAGATTGACATGAAAATGACAATTCATCCTGCAGATCCTGTTTAAATCACCAGCAGATGAAGATGACACCTTAACACTTACATGTATTTATCATTTATGACATTTATTTGCTCTACTTTATTATGTGCTCTCGTTGTTGAAGGAATGAGATTAATTCACCAACAATTATCAATTTTTCATTACTCAATTTTTATGTTTGCAGATAGAGATGAGGATGAGATGGACACTGAGGATACCAGGAGTGGATTAAGATATTACGATAGAGACGGAGATATGATCCACGGGTCCATGGATGGTAGCTATAACTGCCCGAGGTGTTCCAGGGTATTTCGAACGAAGGGTGGCATGGTGAGGCATCACAGGATTGAGTGTGTCGATGCACCCAGGTTCAAGTGTCCCCACTGCGAGATGAAGAGCAAATATACTCAGGCGATTTATCGTCACGTTAGATCGAGGCACAAAGGACTCGATGCCGGTTTTATAACACTGTTCTAATTAATTTTAGAGCGGTTAAATTACCAGTGGATGATTTTATAAGTGAAATTTTATTCATTAAATATATTGGATAAATACGTGAAATTTGTGAGATTCTAACGCATGCGGTGGCTTTTGTATTTCCTCACGCCTCTCACACGCCCGCCCCTCACTTATTCATCAGTTAAATGATTAATTTAATTTCGTTAGGGGTTGAAAGATTTATCTGTTTTAATCAAATGAAGTCAGACGAAATTTAAATCCAAGGGAGATAATGGTGTTGAGAGTTACACTAATAAGTATTTTATGTTTATTGCAGGATATTCATCCACTGTTGATGGAAGATTCAGCTGTCCGAGGTGCACTAGGTGTTTTATCTCCAAGGATTGCATGATTCGTCACTATCAGGCCCACTGCGAACTCAACGAGACAAGATTTCGCTGCACCTACTGCGATTACGGATCAAAATACAGTTCTAATATTTATAAACACGTGAGACGCGTTCACAAGCAAATGCCTTGCTTCAAGCCTGATAAAATTCATCTGCTCTAGCTCTATTATTATTAATCGGTATTTTTTAATGATTAATTATCGTGTGATATTGCACAGTGATATTAACCTGAACTCGAGAGGATCTCGTTGCCCAAGTGAACCTTACACAACTGCGTTATCTATTTATTCTGTGTATTCAAGTTTAATAAATTAAAAATTATTTTATCGTCAACTGAAGAGCCGATCAACATCGCCGAAGAGATTATTTCAAATGATTATTCATCATTTATCCATAAAATTATAAAAATGCAAACGAATTTTTTTAGTTAATTATTTATCGTGCAAAGTATTTTTATTTCTCTTCGATATCTGTGCCATTTGTTTTTTCCGTGAATCGAAAATCGATAGATGATCAATTATTTTGTCGTGTTACATCTCACAATTGATATTGCAACCCGCGGAACTCGCGAACTTGAAAATTCCAACGGAATTGACATCAAGAGTGAAGATCAACACTGAAGAGCAGAAGAGCCCGTTCATAAATTAATTATTTATCATTTCCCGTAGAAAATAAGTAAGTTACTTATTTTTTTTCCTTATTTAATGATTTATGGTATATTTTCAGAGTCTGCAGCCCTGACAGCCGAGGAATAACTAATGAAACGGTGTATGTCGCAAATTAATTGAATAATTGAATAAAATGTCTTTTTTTTTAATCGTTAGACTAGATAAATTCCCGTGTTCACTGAGTCACTTAACATTCTGCATGAATTTTTTTCACAAACAATAGATAGAATTATTGAGGATGGATGGAACAGTAATTCTGAATATCCCCAAAATTTTGTGTTTCAGAGCAAAAATATATGAGGAGAGATCGCCTGGAGAAAAGATTCGCGTGCGCAAGTTGTCCCAGTGCTTTTTCATCGAAGCACAATTTGAGTCGACACTTGGTGTACGGTTGTAATCAAGCGCCGCGATTCAAGTGTCCATATTGTAATATGAGATCCAAGGAGGTATCCAATGTATACAGACACGTTAGAAATCGTCACGCTGGGATGCCAGTCCACCTCATAGACTTACCAACAAATTGTATCCGTTATGCTCGCAAAGGGGCGGTTCTCACATGAATAAATAAATGCCAATGATTTTACCAAGAGAAGAGATAAAAGAAAGAGCCAAAAAATACAAGCCAATATGACCCATTCAGTTTCGTTTATCATTGACTTATCCAGATCGTGAATGGATTGACGAAGATATATTTTGAATTTTCAGAAATGTCAGTAGGTCGCAATCGCATTACCTCCAGGAGACGTCGAGAGTCACTTTATGGATGTCCCCTCTGCAATCAGAAGAGCAAGAAAGCCTTCAACATACAGAGACACATGGCGAGGTGGCATCCAGGACAGCCTGGAGCAATCATCAAGTTCTACTTATCTTATAATCGATATCCTCGATTCAAGTCTTCCTCTTGAACGCGAGATGAACGAGCCTAATGTATACAACCAGTGCACCTCATTGATTTCAATAAATAAATATTATTAATATATCTCTAACAATCCTTTAAACATTTCTAGTTAAACTTTTATGTTTCTATTTAAATTCATTCATCTCAAAATATTGTGAATATTCGATAACTCAATACTTTGAATTTCAGTTCATCCTAAATTCCAAGGACAGTGGAAATGCCCCAGATGCAACAAGGGTTTCAAGAAGAAAAATGCTATGGAGACGCACTACAAATATGTTTGCAGTCGAGAGCCCCATCATGGCTGTCCCTTCTGCAGCCACAGAACCAAAAAGCTCTTCAACATGCGGAGGCACATGGAGAGCTGGCATCCGGGACAGGAGAGGCCAATTCTCAAGCTCCAGGATCATCAAGACTATAAATTCAAGTGTCCCTATTGCAGCATGGGCTCTGACAACAGATCCAGTGTCTACAGACACGTGAGAAATCGTCACGCTGGCCATCCGGTTCACTCCATCGAGAGAATCTAAACCTGGATTAATTGCAATTGCACTTATCGTAATTATCGAGACGTGTCCTGTGATGGACATTGACGACTCAGCTCTCATAATTGAACGTGAGATTGACGAGTTCAATAGATTCAACCAGTACCTCATTGTTTTATGAGAACGAATAAATAAATATAATTTTTAATAAATTTTCAAAGCTCTCAGCATGAGTTTGTCACTTCTTGGTACTCTGCCACTCTCCATTGACTTCCAAGTCCTGGGGATGCTTCATCAAATGAATTCTTTGAATTTCAGTTGATCCTAAATTTCGGACAGCTCGATCTTTCAAAGTTACCGGTTACTCTGACTCGTTTAATGCTCTCTATTAATTGTGTGAATATCGTGGATAGATTGGTTAACTCATCTTGAATTTTCAGAAGTGTCAATCGATCCTCTTAAAGGCAGAGATCTGATGACGTGCACCAAGTGTCAGAATGTCAACTACCCTCGACCTTCTGTACAGATGTCCCTTCTGCAATGAAAAGGACAACGACACTATTAACATGGCTCCTTGAAGAGGATCTACGGTTGCAATCAGGAGCTCAGATTTCACTGTCCCTATACCAGTATGAGATCAAAGAATAGATCCAACATGTACAGACACGTTAGGACTCGTCACACTGGCACGTCAGTTCATCTCATCGATTTATTAACCAACTGCATTCGTTATCCTTTCCCAAACAAGTGATATTTAATCAATAAATGTCATTAATCTCTCCCCCAAGTATCTACCAAATGTGTGTCGACTCTAAGTCTGAGTCCTGAAGTTTTCAGGCATCTCCATCGCTACCCTGAATTCAGAACCTGATCGAATTGTTCTGTCATAACAGCTTTCAAACAAATGTCTGTCTTCAAGGACATCCTAGCTTCTTCCTGGAATAAAAGACAGAATAATCCACGAATAATCAACAATTCAATCTCGATCAGTGTCCAACAAATGAGAAGTCAACTGTATTGTTGTTTCCACAGAGACTCTCGTGGTTGAAAATAAATAAATTCCATCAGTATCATCTCACCTATCTTTCGAATTTCTCTTTACAACTATAATAAATCGTTCGGTGTTTCGGTTTCTTTTGTAATTAATCATCAAGATCCATCACGACTAGATGGACTAACGTGTCTTTTGAATTTTCAGACATCTCAATCGTTGCTCCTAAATTCAAAGGACCGTGGAGCTGTCCCAACTGCCGTAAAGGTTTTCGATCTAAACCAGCTGTTGAGATGCACTACAGATATGTATGCAGTAGAGCTCCTCGTTATGGCTGTCCATACTGCGACAAAAAGGACAAGAAAGCATTCAACATTCGAAGACACGTGGCGAGATGGCACCCAGGGTTGCAGGGATTCAGCATCAAGTTCTATTGACCCTCGAAATAAATGAGAAAAAGAAAAGAAGAAAAATGATAATTGACTGGAGCTTTAGTGAAACAAAAATAAATTGAATACTCTTTCCCAATACTTTAACCATTGAATTGCCTTGTATCATTTCCAAGAGATTATCGCTAGACGAAATAACTAATCGATGAGTTATTTATTTTAATTTTTATGCCTGAACTATTAATTATTTATGTCGAATTGAATTCGATCTAACCAGGTCGTTCTTCCTCCTTGTTAATCAGGTCCTCTGAGGGTTCAGCTGGGTGAGGCCGGTCTGTTTGAGGCAATCAGGACAAGCATGGATTTTCTAGAAGGTAATCGAGAAGACTGTGCACTGTGGAATCCAGTTAAAATGGCGTATCAGTGTCCAAGGTGTAATGCAGGCTACACATACAAGAAAACACTGCAGACTCATCTCAAGTACGACTGTGGCAAAGAGCCGAGGTTCAAGTGTCCCTATTGCAATAAAAAGGACAAATGCTCTTCAAACGTCTACAAACACATTAGAATGAGGCATGACGGTCTACCCGTGATTGTTCACAAAAATTAGCACTTGATTAACTGTTATTTTTTTTTTACTTCTATTTATTTCAACCTGGACAATGTCATTTGGGATATTTAATGTTAATAAACGCGTGTGATTCTTCAACAATTCCGTCGTGTTGTGCATCTTGAAGATTATTATTTATTTATCTCACTGTCCCGTTATGTATCACCCACACTTTGTGCTATTTTTGAAAATTTGATGGAAGCATTGGAATAATGATTTTATGAACTTTGTTTGCAGGTCGTGGGAGACACTGGCTAGACATCTATTCGCCAACTACTTATTTCTGCCCTCATTGTAACACTGGCTTCAGGAGAATGTGGGATTTAATTCGACACAGGTGCGGGCAGAGCCTCAAGTTTGCCTGTCCCTACTGCCCCAAGAAAGACAATTCATCATCCAATGTCTATAGACACATAAGACGATGGCATCCTGAAAGACCTGTCAATGTCAACAAATTGTTCTGAATGAATTTCTGTTGTTTGCAATAAAAAAACATTGAACAACACTGAAGACAGAGCTAATTATCTTTATTCTCGAAGCAGTTGAATTTGTTCACTCAATGATATTTTCGATTTGTTCCAGCAAATATCTGCATCATCACCCGAAGCTAACACACGTTAAAAAAAAATAACTGTAACTGAGCTTTCGCTGCATTTTGTGTACGTGTGTCTTGCAACAACATCATGCTGAATGATTTGTCCATAATTATTTAACAATTGATTGAAACATAACTCGAAGTTGTCTCAGGGATGGAAGAATCACTAACAACTGAATTTTTTCTATTGATGTTCCAGGGGAAATGGAGAGACTGTGGCCAGACAGACGGGCTTGGAGACCGAGGACCTTCGATGGAGTGAAAAAACAATTTTTCTGTCCCAATTGTCATCGTGGGTATAAACACCGATCACACATGTACAGACATCGTCAGTACGAGTGCGGTAAATCCCCGAGGTTTCAGTGTCCTTATTGCGATGCCAGGAGCAAACACAAATTCAATTTGTATTCACACATTAAGAATCATCATCCTGGATCTTCTCTGTACGCCATTGATACACTCCTAGAAAGCCAATGATGTTAATGTACTAAATGTTATATAAAAAAAAAGAGATTTAATAAAAAAAATGAGTTTTCACAGTTACTACGGGGCATGAAAATGATTGGCTGAGACACGAATGCACTTCAATGTCGGACCATTTACTAATTTAAATCGCATTGTCTTCGGTGTTCCAGGGAAAAGGGGGAGATTGTCTCAGAATTCAATCAGAGAACGGTTCGAGGCAGAGAGTGAAGATCGTCATTACTGTCCCAATTGTGGAAGGAGTTACAAGCATCGGTGTCACATGCAGCGACACTGGAAGCTAGAGTGTGGAACACCAGGAATATTTCAGTGTCCTTATTGCAATATTTTCCTGAAGAGAAAGACATACGTCTGGTCCCACATCAAACAACGACATCCAAACAGCGAGCTTTATTGCATTGACAGTGAGAGCAAGTGGAAAATCACCCCAAAGTGATCAAAATAACAGCAACAAATGGCAACGATTTTGTAAAAAAAAAACACAAAAAAACAAAAATTAACTGAGAGAATAAATCTTAATTTTAAGAAATCGTCAAGATGTATTCAAAACTCATGATTCTTCTTGTCAAAATGTTATGTACATTCGGGAGTTGTAAATATCTGGTATTAATTATTATTTGTTGAATTTTACAGTTGACAGCTGGGAGCCCTGGGATGTCACAGATGATAATGATCCAACTGGTGTCAATAGCACTCGATACTACTGTCCAAATTGTGGAAAAGATTACGCATATCGACACAATCTTCAGCGTCACATATCGAGAGAGTGCGGAAAGCTACCGAAATACCAGTGTCCATATTGCAAGTCTAGGAGTAAACGACAGGACAATCTCTACGCTCACATCAAAACGGTGCATCCTGGCTTCGACGTTTACGCGATTGATGCGGATTTCGCAAGAATTCACAGCAACGAGTCGTATGTAAGAGGAGACAGATGAACGAATAAAGGACATTGTTATTGCAACATGTGGAATTATTTCTAGCTTCTGTGCCCTCCCAATTATCACTAATTATTATGGAGTATAAATAATTAATTATTGTTAGACATTTAATTATCTTTATTCGTGATTTCGTTGTCTTGTTGCGTTTCGTCGTGTCCCGGTGTCCTTATGACGTAGATCATAATCCTGGAGTCTATACTCCATGAACTTTTTCTATTTAATGTTTAGTCGTTCATCATTAACATTAAATCAGATGCCAATCGAAAATGACAATAAATCGACATAATAGAATAGAATTATATCGAACGTGTGTCTATCATGAATTGTTCGGTTTGTCTTTATCTCTCGGTTGTTTATCGTGATGTTAAAATGTTTCTCTAATATTGTCACCTCGTTTACTGTTTCAGAAATGTGGGAAAGGCTGGAGCCTATTCCAGTGAGCTACACATCGATGAATGAACATGATGACCATCGTCACCACTGCCCAAAGTGCGGAAGGAGTTACAAGCGTCGAACTCACTTGAATCGACATTACAATTTCGAGTGCGGTGTACCTAAGAGATTTAGATGTCCCTATTGCCATCAGGATTCAAAGCAGCGGTCACAAGTGTGGACTCACATCAGAAAAATGCACAAACGCGCTCACCTCTACTGCCTCGATATCCAGACAAATCAGAAGCTCTACTACCCGGGTGATCGCCAGAGGAAAAAAAAATAAAATTCGAAAAACTGAAAGAAGAAAAAAAAACAAACTCCACGATCCTAACGATAATCAAATAAAAATTCATTGATCAATTTTGTAATCATGATTGTAATTTTTTTTTACCCTTATTTTACGTTTTGCATCGTGGTGTTGGGATTGTAATGTCTTCCAGGTTCTGTCTAGAACTCGTATAAATATGATTTCAATTGCTGATTGTTGCAGGGGTAATGCAGACAACATGGCAATTTGTTGCTGTTAATCCAGAGATCGAGGACATATCGACTCGTCATCGTTGCATGACGTGTGGAAAGAGTTACAAGCGTCGAACACACTTGCGTCGTCATAATCAGTATGAATGCGGTGTTCCAAGAAGATTCAGGTGTCCCTACTGCAGTCAGGACTTCAGACAGAGATCGTGCATTTGGACGCACATAAGGAAGCTTCACAAACGATCTACCCTCTATTGTCTTGATATCGGTACTGGCAAGACTCTGTATTACGAGAAGAGACCCACGTATGCTTGATTAAATCAACAGGATACCATACTCATCCCTGGACATTGATAATAACTAAATAAATATAAATCCTTGATTTCAAAACGAATTGTCATTTCATTCTCCAATTTTTATTCTAGATACATCAATATTTCATTTGATTCGGTGATTAATCATATCATGATATCATGCAATAAACATTCATAAATATCATTTCAATTGTTACAGGCAAAGTGCAAATGGATTGACAATTTATTCCAACTAATCCGGAAATGACGGATCGTCATCGTTGTGCAATATGTGGAAGGAGTTACAAGTGTCGATCGCATTTGTATCGTAATTTCGATTACGAATGTGGAGTCAGGGATCCCGCGTGCGGACGTAGAAGTTGTTTTTCGAGATGAAAAAAAAGGAGTCATACCCGAGAGCTTTTGATGGCAATTAACGCAACGGATAAATAGATTTCCATTTATTTTTTAATAATCAAGAAACAAAAATGAGTTCTTCGAGCTTATAATGATCATTATCAGTTCACTTCCTCATTCTTCAGTTAATATAATAATTTATAGTGTTAATAGTAAATAAATTATGAGTATTTGTCGTGAATTGATAGTAATTATCTCGACTGTTGAATGTTCTAGATCCGTTGGAGTTGGAATTTATCGCTGTGGATTCTGAGGCGATTCGTCATGGCTGTGCAACGTGTGGTAAATCGTACAAGCGTCGAACTCACCTGATCCGCCATCTTAAATACACTTGCGGTGGGATGAGGGCATTCCAATGCCCTTATTGTGATCAGGACTTCAGACAGCGTGCAAGGATATGGATACACATACGAAATCAACACAGCTATTCTGTCCTTTACTGCATCG